CGGAACTAACTCATACAATCACAGGCTACCAGTTATTGAAAGAAGTCGTCGACGCAGCTGCATGGGAATGCTCAAACAACAGTCCCCTTGACAACATTTGGACAGAGTTCGTTGATAGACAGTGACATTGTCAACAGAGCATCAGAGATCAAAGCCCTTCGTCCTGCAAAATGCCTTCAATTCTAAGGAGCAGGACTCGAAAATGCCTGGCGATAAGGGATGCGGAATGGTGTGCCTACAAGATTAACCCCGACTCAGAGACTTGGGGAAATTTCCTGACCCATCGCAACCATTGCACTGCACTTGTCCTTGAGGACAAAGTAACTTATCAACAGTGCCTAGCCCGAAAATTCCTAGCAAACAACAAAATGCTGTATAGGCATGTCAACAACCTACCTAAAGTGAGGCATGGAATCCATCCACTTTCCACAACAGGCGGTAGAGTACAAAGCGCCGAAGAAGTAGCTAATGCCCTGTGGCCACAATATGCCACAATTCTCAAACTCGCAACCTCTACCTGTCCCATAATGTCATGCACATTACCGACTCCATTGTTTACATATGCAACTTTCAACCCATCAGTTTGCCAACGAAGTTACTCTCACTGCGCGAACATAGCTCTCCGGGAGCAGACAACATCCGCTCGAAGGCACTGAAGGCTGCGGTCACCAAGCTAGCTGAACCACTGTCACAGTTTTTCCAAAGGTGCTTTGATGAACAACAAATCCCCCCTATGTGGAAGTGTGGCATTATCACCCCTATTTTTAAAGGCGGTAGCCGTTCGGGTCCTGCAAACAAGTACCCAGTGTCTCTCCTCCCTGTGCTGGCGAATGTGATGGAAGCGGTCATCGTTGAGGCTCTAATGGACTACCTGGAAAAATGCATCATGGCACCGGAGCAGCATGGCTCCCGTCAATACCGGTCATGTACCATCAACCTACTGATTGCGCGGTGCAGTTGGACCGAAGTGGCTGAAAATGCGGTCGAAGTTGACATCATCTATCGGGACTTCGCCAAAGATTTCGACTGCCAGTATCACCGCATCCGACTTCACCGGCTACAGAGCTACGGAATCGGAGATCCTGTACTTGGTTGGATTGGCAACTTTCTTCACCAACGGAAGCTTCAAGTAAGCGTTAGGGGATCACCCTCTAACCCGATTGAGGAACAATGTGGTGTTCCACAAGGCTCAGTGCTGGGACCGCGCATATTCTTGATGTTTATCAACGACCTGGCAAGAGTTCTCTCCTCCGATTTCCTGAATTTCGACGATGACGTCTATACATTTTTACACGCATATTAGCGTATTGTACCAAGCTTTTAGCGTGGTTCATTTTCGAAATAGCGTGCGGTACTTTCAAGTTAGCGAGGCGGAGAACGCTGATTTGGCGTCCTTGACACTCTCATTGGTTATGGGACGTAAACCAATGGGACTTCGGTTAGAAGCTGCCAGCATACGCGACAGACAGTCCAATGAAAGTGGTCGAGCACCACCTTCCGTTCTGCCCTGATGCCCCGCTGGAGTAAACCTCGATGATTGGTCTCCAACCTGAAATCGACCAATAGGTAAATTGTGATGCTTGTCAAAGGAGGAGATGCTAGCTACCACACTATCCAAAGCTTAAGACTTAACCAGTGTGGATAGACATACTAACCAGCGCATATAGCGGTCTATGGCGATCACTGGCGGCTACCTAATGGTGGCTTATTCAGCAGCCTAACCATGGTGGCGTAGACAGACAACCATCTAACTCATATTCCACAGTACAGCAATGGCTGGTAGGCGGTTAGACAATTGTGTGCGAATGTCATTGCAACGATCATGGGGACACAGTTCCCACAGAAGTTAGTAGACCAACCTGAAGCTGAACAACGACAATTCTAAGGTTGCTTAATTCGATCACAGTTGATGACTCAACAAAAAATAAGAGGATTCCAAGTGTGGCGCTGACACGACGTCAGTGAGTGTTCGTTTGCATCCATACCCATGGGCGAAATGTTAATCAGTTGTCGCTTCAGTGTCTCTATGTATGGCGTTACCTAAAGGTCATAGGAAGCTACGAATTCATAGAATAATTAGGTTTCACTTCCATATGGTCGCCCATGGTGTCGTAGAGAGGCAATCATCTAACTCGTACTCCACAGTACAGCAATGGCTGGTAGGCGGTTAGACAATTGTGTGCGAATGTCATTGCAAAGATCATGGGGGACATAGTTCCCACAGAAGTTGTTAAACCAACCTGAAGCTGAACAACGACAATTCTAAGGTTGCTTAATTCGATCACAGTTGATGACTCAACAAAAAATGATAGGATTGCAATTGTGGCGTTGACACGACGTCAGTGAGTGTTCGTTTGTCTCCATACCCATGGGCGAAATGTTAATCAGTTGTCGCTTCAGTGTCTCTATATTTGGCGTTACGTAAAGGTCATAGGAAGCTATGAATTTATAGGATCATTAGGTTTCACTTCCATATGGTCGCCCATGGTGACGTAGACAGAGAATAATCTCACTGGTATTCCGCACGTCAGCAATGGCTGCTAGGTAGTTATATAATTTCGCGCGATGGTTATTGCGACGATCATGGGGACATAGTTCCCATTGAAGTTAATAGACCAACCTGAAGCTGAACAACGAAAATTCTATGTTCGCTTACTTCTATCTCAGTTGATGGCTCAACAAAATGTGAGAGCATTCCAAGTGTGGCGTTGACACGACGTTAATGAGTGTTCGTTTGTCTCCCAACCCATGGGGGCATTTGTTAGTCAGTTACAAAATGATAGGATTGCAATTGTGGCGTTGCCACGACGTCAGTGAGTGTTCGTTTGTCTCCATACCCATAGGCGAAATGTTAATCAGTTGTCGCTTCAGTGTCTCTATATTTGTCGTTAGGCTGGCTAGCCGAACAACCTCCTCGTGGTGCCAGCTGGGTGGTTCGGGTTTAACCCGTTCCAGCAAGTGGTTCGGCGGCAGTGTTCCAGGACGTGGTGGGTTTTCGCCTGGCAAGCGTTCTCCTATAAAAAGCCACAAATGTCTGCTTAACAACACTGCGACGTGGCGGATGTGACTCGCCACAACCTAAAGTCACTGGCCTGTGGACATTCGGAAAGTGCTATCCAATCCACGAAAATCAATCGCTTATTCCCACATTCCTGACGATAACAACAGTCAAAAATCGCGGCGCATTCAAAAACACAAGCTACATTCCTACACAATTACATACGTATATACACCATATACTTACATACACTGTTATGCTAAACATGTCCTTTTGTACAATTTGTTCACATTATGTTAGCTAAGTATGATCATGCCTGTAAAGGTGTGCCTCGCATTGTCGAGAATAAAAATTTATTTATTTATTTATTTAAAGGACATAGGAAGCTATGAATTTATAGGATCATTAGGTTTCACTTCCATATGGTCGCCCATGGTGACGTAGACAGAGAATAATCTCACTGGTATTCCGCACGTCAGCAATGGCTGCTAGGTAGTTATATAACTTCGCGCGATGGTTATTGCGACGATCATGGGGACATTGTTCCCATTGAAGTTAATAGACCAACCTGAAGCTGAACAACGAAAATTCTATGTTCGCTTACTTCTATCTCAGTTGATGGCTCAACAAAATGTGAGAGGATTCCAAGTGTGGCGTTGACACGACGTTAATGAGTGTTCGTTTGTCTCCCAACCCATGGGGGCATTTGTTAGTCAGTTACCACTTCAGTGCCTACATGTATCGCGTTATGTAAAGGTCATAGGAACCTATGTATTCTCAGGATAATTACACTTCACTTCCATATGATCGCCCATACGTGTTGAGACGCTTTAACAAGTGGCTCTCCAAATGGAACCATTATAAGCACAGTCAATGCAGATGGAACCTCCCTATTACGTCAATGGACTGGCATGCTCTCCTCAAAGAATCGGCATTACTCAACAAAGTAACACTTAAAGGGGCCACAATGACTACGGTGTTTATACATGCCACATCGTCCTGCTAGAAAGAACGCAAGACTTATGATTAGTGGCGACGCAGGCATGTTACTCTGGTACTTCAGGTGAGTACTTGGAACAGATAAACACTGTTGTCACCCACGGGCGTTCCTACAATGTGTTTGCAATCATTTACAAAGGCAACCGCGCCCACTAAGCCTGCTATGGATCACTGTTTCAGCTAGTCTTAGAAGCATTCATGTATGCACGCCGTGACACAGGTTGTTAGCGACTTAGCAACTACTGGGAAACATTTTGTCATTGGGAAGTAGGTAATTCCGGAGACGTTGTTGACGGAGGAAAATTTCTGCAGTCTCTATGCTTACTATGCGTATTCAGTGCTCGTAGGCACCTCATATCAGGGCCGTAGGGTCACTTGAGATTTAAAGCTTATCAATCACTTGGAAGTGAGGGTAAATATCATGTTGAAACGCAGGATTGACATGCATCTTACGACCTTAACATAACGGCAGGACCATGGGTCTTGTAGCGGTAACTGATTACCGAAGTGGCGCACAGGTGGGGCGATGAACGAACACTCACTAATGTCGTGTCACCGCCACACTAGGAACCCTCCTCTCTGGAACAATGGCTACAGATCCAATGATGATCTTACCTACACAGCGAACTTGATCTTAGTATACAATGCGCCGACTACATAAGCAATACCTATCTACGCTATTCACAGGAGTGTACGGCCAACTGAAAAAACACAGCACGAGAAATTTGTAGCTGTAAAGCTTTGTAAAAATTCTATTTGCCAAGTTCTAGCTTTACCTCCTTCATACGAATTATTGCATTGTTTCCGATTACCTCACACTGCGTTAACAATCACACGCACATCCGAAGGTAAGTCGCACACCTATCGATTCTCCAGATTGCTCGCAGTGGCACGATTACACTATGCATCACGTGTGGCCAGATAGGCTAGCGAGAAAGATAGCCAACTTGCATTCAACCCGTAAGCCTACAAAGGTGCTCTACTCGCTGCTTCACACCAGTTCTCAGTTCTCAGTTCTCTCATCATCATCATCATCATCATCATCATCATCATCATCATCATCATCATCATCATCATCATCATCATCATCATCATCATCATCATCATCATCATCATCATCATCATCATCATCATCATCATCATCATCATCATCATCATCATCATCATCATCATCATCATCATCATCATCATCATCATCATCATCATCATCATCATCATCATCATCATCATCATCATCATCATCATCATCATCATCATCATCATCATCATCATCATCATCATCATCATCATCATCATCATCATCATCATCATCATCATCATCATCATCATCATCATCATCATCATCATCATCATCATCATCATCATCATCATCATCATCATCATCATCATCATCATCATCATCATCATCATCATCATCATCATCATCATCATCATCATCATCATCATCATCATCATCATCATCATCATCATCATCATCATCATCATCATCATCATCATCATCATCATCATCATCATCATCATCATCATCATCATCATCATCATCATCATCATCATCATCATCATCATCATCATCATCATCATCATCATCATCATCATCATCATCATCATCATCATCATCATCATCATCATCATCATCATCATCATCATCATCATCATCATCATCATCATCATCATCATCATCATCATCATCATCATCATCATCATCATCATCATCATCATCATCATCATCATCATCATCATCATCATCATCATCATCATCATCATCATCATCATCATCATCATCATCATCATCATCATCATCATCATCATCATCATCATCATCATCATCATCATCATCATCATCATCATCATCATCATCATCATCATCATCATCATCATCATCATCATCATCATCATCATCATCATCATCATCATCATCATCATCATCATCATCATCATCATCATCATCATCATCATCATCATCATCATCATCATCATCATCATCATCATCATCATCATCATCATCATCATCATCATCATCATCATCATCATCATCATCATCATCATCATCATCATCATCATCATCATCATCATCATCATCATCATCATCATCATCATCATCATCATCATCATCATCATCATCATCATCATCATCATCATCATCATCATCATCATCATCATCATCATCATCATCATCATCATCATCATCATCATCATCATCATCATCATCATCATCATCATCATCATCATCATCATCATCATCATCATCATCATCATCATCATCATCATCATCATCATCATCATCATCATCATCATCATCATCATCATCATCATCATCATCATCATCATCATCATCATCATCATCATCATCATCATCATCATCATCATCATCATCATCATCATCATCATCATCATCATCATCATCATCATCATCATCATCATCATCATCATCATCATCATCATCATCATCATCATCATCATCATCATCATCATCATCATCATCATCATCATCATCATCATCATCATCATCATCATCATCATCATCATCATCATCATCATCATCATCATCATCATCATCATCATCATCATCATCATCATCATCATCATCATCATCATCATCATCATCATCATCATCATCATCATCATCATCATCATCATCATCATCATCATCATCATCATCATCATCATCATCATCATCATCATCATCATCATCATCATCATCATCATCATCATCATCATCATCATCATCATCATCATCATCATCATCATCATCATCATCATCATCATCATCATCATCATCATCATCATCATCAGCCATTTGAACTGATGCTTCGCTGCCATACAACTATGAGGACCTATGAAATAAAAAAATAAGAAAAGGGAGAGAAGGGGGACTTACCTGAAAACCTTAATGCCCTAAGCAAACATTCAGGGTCAAGGCGCCTACACCTTGTGTAGATAACATACCGTCACAAACGGCTGGCTATCGTGCAAAGATAAGGCGGCATCGGCGAGACAGCTTCCTTGCGGCTTTCACTGCCACGCGTCATAATCAGCCATTACCCCGCAGATAACTCAGCACCAAACACACTTTAAACAGACAATCCAATTAGGAGACGGCAACAAACGCGCCACTGGTGTCGGTTGCGAGCCGTGTCCTGTAAAACCTCGAGCCAAGCACAAGGCGAGTCACGTGGACTCCAGCCCGGAAGGCGAGACGGACCAACGGCACCCAGTTTGGTCGTCAGTGACTTCATTTCCCGCTGCCAAGTCAACTTCTGTCCACCTCGAGCCTTGCGCCATCCGACACCTGGTAGACTGAACAAGGCCCTCCTAGGTAAGCGGTGACTAGGCATGCGTAGCACGTGCCCGAGCCAACGCAACTTATTCAGTGCTATCTGTTGTTCTAGGGAGCTAGCATGATCATCACCACCTAGTACTCGCCTACGCACATCATCGTTGCGGACACGCTGGTGCCATCCGACATCAGCAATGCTTCGCAAACAACGATGATCAAAGACTTGAAGGCGCCTCAGATCATCAGACCGAAGGGGCCAAGTTTCACTACCATAGAGCAGAACGGCCCTCACTGTGGCCTTGTATACACGGCCTTTCAGACGGAGGGAAACTCCCTTCTGTCGCCAAAGATGACGCAGGTTCAAGAAGGCAGCTCTGGCCTTTGCAATGCGTGAGCTCACGTCAGTTTCTATGCGCCCATCATTGCTGATGCAGCTGCCAAGATAAGTGAATTGATCAACCATCTCGAGTTCCTCGTTAGCAAGCGTCAAGGGGTCATCGAGTGGCTGGTGGTCCTGCAGCAACACTTTGCACTTTGAAGGTGCGAAGTGCATACCAAATAATGGGACCACTCTGGATAGGCTATTCAGGGTTGATTGTGCCGCCTCAACATTGTCGAAAAGCAAGACGATATCGTCCGCATAATAGAACAACTAACCGTTCACCAGGCAGCACTTCAACATCTACATCGTGAGATTCCGCAAGGGAACACTCCATGATAGAATCCACGACGAAATTGAACAAAAACGGAGAAATCGGACAACCCTGACGAACGCCACTTGTAGTCGAAAAGCTATCCGATAGGGCACCATAGACCCTGACGCGGCCTGTAGTGTTCGAGTATAGAGCACGAAGAATGTTCACATATTTCGTGGGAACACCTTTCCGCGCAAGTATTTCGAACAGCATCGATCGATCGACTGAATCGAACGCACTCTTGAAATCGAGGAACACAGCTATTGTCGGTCTGCGGTATGCGTGGCGCTGCTCTAGCACCTGCCGCAAAGTAAATATATGGTCTATACAGCCACGTCCTGGGCGAAAACCGGCCTGCTCATCCCTAATCCGAGATTCGCGTTCTGCAGTGAGGCGACGAACGATAATCGAGGCCAGTAATTTTGTCACAACTGGCGTTAGGCTAATATCCCTGTGGTTCGCACAGTCTGTGCGACTGCCCTTTTTGTATATTGCTACTATAATCGATTCGCTCCAATTAGCCGGCACACTCTCTTCGTTCCAGATACGTTCGAATAGGGAGGTCAGTGCTTTGCAGAGGACCTCACCTCCATCCTTAAATAGTGCAGGTGGGAGGGAATCCGGGCCAGCGGCACGAAAACGATTGAGGGCTGTGATCGCGTTTCGGACCTCGGCCTCCGACGGAGGCTCTAAACTAACCGTCCATGGCTCGTCCTGCATCACCTGAGTAGGAAGAGGTCCGGGAGCAGGGGGCCAGCTGAACTGAGGTTCAAAGTGCTCAGCCCAACGAGCCATACGGAGCTCCTTATTGTGTATCAGCGCACCCGCGCTGTCCCTGATTGTCTCACTGACGCCTGGTTTTCTCGGACCAGTGGTGCGTATTAGCTGGAAGAGCTTCCGGTAATTGCCTACTGCTCTTGCCTCCTCCATTTCTTGAGCCCTACTGGTCCACCAGGCTTCCTTGTCAGCACGTAGGCACCGCTTTAGTTCACGCCTAATAGCCCGTCTGGTCACATTGTGTTCAGAACCAGCCGGGAGGTGCCTTCTAGCTTCCAAAAGGTTCACGGACCTCTCGGATATCCAGTGACTGGTGCGATGACGACTGATAGTGCCACAAGCAGATGCTCCTGCGTCGTGCATAGTGGCCGAGATCCTATTCCACTGAAGTTCAGTATCATTAGGACAAGACAGCGAGAGTTCGCTATGCAGTGCTTCTTGATAGGCTTGCCTGACAGAGGGCTGGGACAATTTCTCCGTTGCCAATCGGGGGAGACGCTTTGTGCGCCTTCCGGTAAAGTTCATGGAGAAACGACAGCGCACCAAGGCATGGTCAGAGTCGACACAGGTACTCCAGTACGAGCGGTAATCCAGAATGGAACCGCGCCACCTGTAACTTATGGCTATGTGGTCAATTTGGGTCCATCGCTGACCAGCTACAGGAGGACGCCAAGTGGCACTTCGGCGCCCACTATGTCTAAAAGCAGTGCTAGTAAGAAACAGCTGGTGCTCCGCACACAGTTGCAGAAGACGCCCGCCGTTGTCAGTCCGTTCGGCGTTAAGTCCATACTTACCACCCAGCTGAGCTTCTGAAGAGCTCAGACGCCCTACTTGTGCGTTCATATCCCCTGCAAGTACTATAATATCTGAACTAGTAGCACTGCGCAGCAGCGTGTTCAGTTCGTGATAGAAAGTGTCCTTGACTGCATTAGAACTGCAGTCCGTGGGAGCATAAGCAGAAATCACAAACAAACAGCGTTTTGTTTTACTTCGCGAATTCACCTTAGCTGATGTCGTCAAACGGGCTGCACATAAACGGCTGTTCACCGGAATCCAGTCAACCAACGATGACTCAGCCTTGGAGCTTAGAATGATACCTACACCAGCTTGACCCGTGAGTGCCGCATCGGCGTCTCCGGATACGTGCAACCAATAACGAGAGGATAAGCCGGGTGCAGTCAATTCAATAACCCCGTTAGGGTCATTAATCCTAGTTTCGGACACACAACACACATCAACACCCAGTGTGTCCAAGGTGCGTGCGAGTGCAGCCTGCTGACCTGTTTGTCTTAGAGTGCGGACGTTGAATGTCGCCATGGAAACGGGACAGCGTGGCCTTATAAGGAACTTTTGCCGATAGGTGCTGTGGGATGGTGGCTGCAGATGGTTCTACTCCAGTAGCACTTCGGTTGCTGTCAATTAAGCTGGGAATTATAGAAGGAAGGTTAGTAATGGGGGCCAGGATGGGAGTGAGAGAAAAAGGTGGAAAAGAAAGAAGGGAGGCGCCAGCAGTAGCATGCTTTCGCTTATCCGCCCTGCTGTATGCAGCAGATAAGGCGACCCTTGATAATCTGCGCGACAGCCGATGCAGGATGAAGTTTATGTTTGAAGAAAATGTCATGGTTGTATGTGGGCTGGGATACTGCCAGGGCGCCCAGACCTAGACAGGAGAACGATTAGGGTCCTCATCCAAAGCCTTTGGCTCAAAAACCTGTCCGCAAGGCAGCGGGGAGGTGGCAGTGATTTAGTTTTAGAGAAATGGACGTCATTCCATTTCAAACCCCCAACCTGGAGGACCAGGAGACTGAGTTTGTCTGACCTCTCACCATTGACCAACCTGGTAGGAATAGCTCTCAAGATGCTCGGAGGCATCACCCAGTAAAGCCCAATGAGTCAATGAGGTACGCAAACCGTCGCACCACGTTAACGTCCAGTCTCGTTGCGACGGAGGTAGCACTTAGTGAGAGGAAGTCATGACCTTCGGAGGCTAGCCACTGTCATCTGCTAAGGTAACAACCTGTGTGGCAGTGGAAGATAGATCGTGCTATATCCCAGTTAGCTTGTAAATTATGTAGCCTAGCCCACTTCCCCCATGGCTCAGTGGCTTAAGCTGCTGGCTAGTTGACATCTACTTCTAGCGATCATGGGTTTGATCCGCAGTAGGGGACCGAGGGAATGCGCAACACTGACGTGCCCCAATAGCGTGAAACGCGTCTGGTGTTTTTCCGGAATAGGCTGTGCTATGTAGCTTTGAGCTACTAGGACGAAAGCGTTAAAATTGTACCGATTGTTGAAAAGCAAGGTTTGATCGCCGAACATTTCCGAGGATCGAGAAACTGTTCCCTCAAAAGTGAAATCTTGAGTGGTCTTGGGCAAAATGTAGTTGGTGGATGTGTTCTGCTCCATAGTTTTGAGCTTATGTTCATAACGTCTGAACCATGAATCGCAAATCAGCCCTGAAGATGGATCGAAAAATAACTCATTGATCCGGTTGACTATCACATCGACTGAAGGCTTCTCAGCATTGTGGAGGGCTATAGACTGAAACGATATTGTTCGAGTGGAGACGTCGATCATACACAGCTGTGAGGAATCGAACTGCTGCTGATGTTGTAGCAAGACAGTTTTCAGATCTTCTGCTGAGGTTGCCATCTTGATTAAGTTTACCTCATGTCGCCAGAAATATGTTGTGCTTCCCCTCTGAGTGTACGGATAACCTCCCAGACTCAGTTGTGTCACCCTAACCAGTTCAACCGCAACGAAATGAGCAGGCCAAGAAAACAGCCGGATCGAGGGATTGTATGAGAGCAAGGCGCAATAAATAGTGTAGGAAATCACTAACACAACAAACTTGGAAATGCTAATTAAGATTAACACAAATCAAAACGGTTCAAGTTCATGGTCCAAACTTGTTGTTGATTCCACGTAGATTCGCAGTTTGTTTTGTACTCGAGTTTGATCTCTAATTGTAGATCGGTCCACTGTTGCACCACTGCTCTCAGCCTGAGCGCTGAGAGAAAGCTACCTGCCTGTAACAATTTGACTGGG